ATAATCAACAGTAAAAAAAGTTATAAATAGTTCTTTATGGAAGCAACACACTTCTGTAATTCTTTAATGTTACTGTATTTGAATAACATTTTCAATATTGTAAATTAAATCTGGAATGTGGTATGTGTACAGTATAATGATAATAACATCTGCTGCAATTTTTAAATAAACGCATGTACCAGTCTGCAGTAATGAGGAAAATATCTGTATTACTTACTTTTTTCAGTTTGAAATAATTCAGGTCAAAAGAAAGATTTCCTTGGTCATCTTTTCCCTTTAAAAAGTTATGTATGTATAAAGTCACCAAATCAATAAAAATAATTTAGCTTTGACGTTTTTACTTTCTTTTTAAGTATCATTTTCATTGGAATATCTTATAAGCTACTTGTAAAAATTCTGAAGCTATGTTTGTCTTTTGATGTCAAAATATATACATTAACAACAAAAATGGTGCAGTAATTGAATGGCCAAATGTCCTATAGGTTCTTTTTTTTGTTTTTAGCAAAATTCCTTATTGTTTTCATCACCGCCTGAGTGATGTTTTAGTTCCCAACATTGGGTGTGGTCTAAACAAACAAGACTGATGCCAAAGCCAACAAAGTCAACAGTGGAACAGTCTGGACCGTGGCAAAATAACTCTTTCATTTTAACAAATAGAAAGGTTTAATAACAGAGAGAAGAAACAAATGACCACATGCTTGTGCCTTGGAAGCATTTGGCTTGTGCAGCTCACATTTCTAAGAGACTGCTTCTCGATTGTGTCTAACAAGTCGAACTCCATGCTGAAGTTGGAGACGATATGGAACCTCTTGCAGACGCGGTACATGATGAGCACCTCCCTGGCCACTTTCTGGAACCGTAGAAGCTGCTGATAGGGAGGTGAAGAAGCGCAGTATCATCTTAGCGAGATCTACAGGTACTTCCATCGATGGTTAAGAGATCTTCTTAGAGATCTCTCATCTCAGGGAGATGCTCACCCTGCGGTCTGTGTGACGGGGACACT